GTATAAATTATACTGGTATGTGTAATATTTAGTATAAATTGTTCTGATGCATTTATTACTTGGTATAAATTGTAGTGGTAAATTTAATGCTATAGTATAAATTGACATGTTTTACTGTACAGTAGAAATTGACCTTGTATGCCTGTTTCCTTGTCACCCAGCTGAACATCATTAGTTTAAACACTTTCATTTCTTGGATAAAAACTGTTGATTAAGTTTATTTAATGAAGAAACAGTGTTTTGTTGTATTAAGTATTGAGTTTTCATCCATGTCAAATTCTACATTTACGAACTTCCACTAAACCTTTTCAATTCATTGTAAACCAAGGATCTAAATAAATAAAAAAATATATATCATATTTTGTTATTTTTGGCTTATGCCTAGTACCAAGTACCAGAGTGAGCTTACCTGGTGGTGCTTTTTCTGTTTTCCTTTGATCATCTGCCAACTTTTGCTTTTAAAGACCTCTGCTCTAAAACTACTCTTCAGAATATAGCAAATGTTTTGGTGCTACCATCCTTTAGGCCATTGGTATCAAAATATAATCAAATGAAGGGTCTGACCCTCCTGGGGCCATATAGGGGCAGTGTGAAAAAGGGGGCCGATTAGGCAGATCTGTTTTAGATGACATTTTCTCCTAAACTACTGAACATATAGTAACCAAATTGTGGTGGTAGCGAATAAAAGGTATGCAAATTGAAGAGATGACCGTCCTAGGGTCTAATGGTCCGGGGAAAAGGGATAAAACTAGGGGCTTATGGGTCGGGACAGGGGATAAAACTAGGGGCTTATGGGTCGGGGTAAGGGGATAGAACTCGGGGTAAGGGGATAAAACTATGGACTTATGGGTCGAGGTAAGGGGATAAAACTAGGGGTTGATAGGTCGGGGAAAGGGGATAAAACTAGGGTCTTATGGTCCGGGGTAAGGAGATAAATCTATGGGTTTATGGGTCGGGGTAAGGGGATAAAACTAGGGGCTTATGGGTCGGGGTAAGGGGATAAGTCTATGGGATTATGGGTGGGGGTAAGGGGATAAAACTAGGGGCTTATGGGTCGGGGTAAGGGGATAAATCTATGGGTTTATGGGTGGGGGTAAGGGGATAAAACTAGGGGTTTATGGGTCAGGGTAAGGGGATAAAACTAGGGGCTTATGGGTTCGGGGTAAGGGGATAAAACTAGGGGCTTATGGGTCAGGGTAAGGGGATAATACTAGGAGCTTAGAACTGGTGTGAAGGGATCAAACTGGCCCCTTAGCTTTAGACAACATCTAACTACATAGCAGATTTGAATAACATTGCAATGACAACAACATGTCATTATTGCTTTCATCTCATCAAGGCGATTCTTTATTTGACTGTTTATTTGAAGGAGAAATTATGTGTTTCTATTGCTGTGATATCGCTATCGTGGGTACGTACATGGCTACATATATAGCGGGTACATACATAGCTACATATATAGCGGGTACGTACATAGCTACATATATAGCGGGTACGTACATAGCTACATATATAGCCTGTACGTACATAGCTACATATAAAGCGGGTACATACATTAAGCTACATATATAGCGGGTACGTACATTAAGCTACATATATAGCGGGTACGTACATAGCTACATATATAGCCTGTACGTACATAGCTACATATATAGCCTGTACGTACATAGCTACATATAAAGCGGGTACATACATTAAGCTACATATATAGCAGGTACGTACATAGCTACATATATAGCGGGTACGTACATAGCTACATATATAGCGGGTACGTACTTAGCTACATATATAGCGTGTACGTACATAGCTACATATAAAGCGGGTACATACATTAAGCTACATATATAGCGGGTACGTACTTAGCTACATATATAGCGGGTACGTACATAGCTACATATATAACGGGTACGTACATAGCTACATATGTAGCGGGTACGTACATGTGCGGGCAGTCACCCATCCATACAACTACTGACCACGCTCGACGTTGCTGAACTAGTGAGCAGGTCCCCGGATTATACCGCATCACTGGAAAAGCTAGCCTGCCAGTAAGGCAGAATTGTCCCCTCATATTCCTTAGATGTCTCACAAGAAAGACAGGACTAATGGTTACTCCAGAATTCGTTGCCTTGGACATTAGTCATGTAGAAAACATATTAGTCAATGTCGCAGGTAATTTATTACCGGGTATATAGATTCTTTGAAAATGTTGGTGCGAAAAAATAATCACAAAAACAATATTATTCATTAATATTTTAGTTATGAAATGAATTTAAATAACAAGCATTCATAAATAAATTGATGGAAAAACTAAATGTTGGATTACTTTAAAGTCTGAATTTGTTTCCCTTATGACAAAAAGGACCAGTAAACACACAATCCACTAAGCAGATGCGGCCTCGTATGCTGGTGCCAGGTGAAATTTAGGTACCAGACCATAACTACCCTGCAGCTCGCCGACCCACCATGACTTGGCATCAAATTCTTTGCTGATGACATGAATCATGTCTCCCTTTTTAAATGTCAGTTCATCGTTAGTTCCACCAGAAAAGTCCCATTTACCATAGTAGAGATTCTCAAAGTCCTCCTTCGGATTAACAATTTTACGTCTCTTAGTCTCTGGAGCATCAGGTTTATTCTCACGGGGTGGTGGAGGGGGTGGGGGATTCAGGTGACTCCTGCTTGGGGGTGGGAGTGGGGGAGGGGTCTGTGAGTTTGGTACAGGGGGCAGGGGCTTCCGCCCCGTGGCTGTTGGTTGTGTACGTGGGGCGTTACGAGAGGGGACAACAGGGGAAGGCGTGGCCATGTTACCACAGTCATCATATGTTTCTTGGTCGTCGTCGTCACCCGGAGCAGGCGCAGTGTCGTCGTAAATGTCCTGTTCCTCTGACTCCACCGCCTGCTCGGGTTGTGGCTCCTTTGACGGAGGTGAAGATTCCACTAAAGGCTCATCAATAGGTTCGTAGATGTCGTCGGGATCATCTGAAAGTCAAGAGGTCATTTCGTAAAATAAAAGCATACAGAGAGCTCAGGGTACCATCGCATTATTGGCAGAGTGTGTTTTCAATGATCACTTTCAATCTTTAAGTTCTATAGGGGAACATATTGATATATCATTGGCATATTGCTAAACTTTAAAAGGTTTACATTGGCAACCTATGACACAAACTTACCACCATTAATGTGTTCAGTCACAGGCCACATTGTATCAATCAAACAACACAGACTTAATTACAATCGTATGTTTTCTGTATTCGGTAACAAGACACAGACTTACCATGGTATATTTTCTGTGTTTGGTAACATGACTCAGACTTACCATGGTATGTTTTCTGTTTTTGGTAACAAGACCCAGACTTACCATGTATATTTTCTGTGTTATGTAACATGACACAGACTTACCATGGTATGTTTTCTGTGTTCTGTAACACAACACAGACTTACCATGGTATGTTTTCTGTGTTTTGTAACATGACACAGACTTACCATGGTATATTTTCTGTGTTCTGTAACACAACACAGACTTACCATGGTATGTTTTCTGTGTTTGGTAACATGACACAGACTTACCATGGTATGTTTTCTGTGTTTGGTAACATGACACAGACTTACCATGGTATGTTTTCTGTGTTCTGTAACACAACACAGACTTACCATGGTATATTTTCTGTGTTATGTAACATGATACAGACTTACCATTGTATGGTTTCTGTGTTCTGTAACACGACACAGACTTACCATGGTATGTTTTCTGTGTTCTGTAACACAACACAGACTTACTATGGTATGTTTTCTGTGTTATGTAACATGACACAGACTTACTATGGTATGTTTTCTGTGTTCTGTAACATGACCCCGACTTACCATGGTATATTTTCTGTGTTATGTAACATGATACAGACTTTCCATTGTATGGTTTCTGTGTTCTGTAACACGACACAGACTTACCATGGTATGTTTTCTGTGTTCTGTAACACAACACAGACTTACCATGGTATATTTTCTGTGTTATGTAACATGACACAGACTTACCATGGTATGTTTTCTGTGTTCTGTTATAATTACACGACACAGACTTACCATAATATATTTTCTGTGTTCCTGTTACACGACACAGACTTACCATGGTATATTTTCTGTGTTATGTAACATGACACAGACTTACCATGGGATGTTTTCTGTGTTCTGTTATAATTACACGACACAGACTAACCATCGTATGTTTTCTGTGTTTGGTAACAAGACACAGACTTACCATCGTATGTTTTCGGTGTTTGGTAGCAAGACAAAGACTTACCATGGTATATTTTCTGTGTTATGTAACACAACACAGTCTTACCATGGTATATTTTCTGTGTTATGTAACATGATACAGACTTACCATTGGATGGTTTCTGTGTTCTGTAACACGACACAGACTTACCATTGTATGTTTTCTGTGTTCTGCAACATGACACAGACTTACCATGGTATGGTTTCTGTGTTCTGTAACACGACACAGACTTCCCATTGTATGGTTTCTGTGTTCTGTAACATCACACAGACTTACCATGTTATATTTTCTGTGTTCTGTAACATGGCACAGACTTACCATGGTATATTTTCTGTGTTCTGTAACACGACACAGACTTACCATGGTATGTTTTCTGTGTTCCTGTTACACGACACAGACTTACCATGGTATATTTTCTGTGTTCCTGTTACACGACACAGACTTTCCATGGTATATTTTCTGTGTTATGTAACATGACACAGACTTACCATTGTATAGTTTCTGTGTTCTGTAACACGACACAGACTTACCATTGTATGTTTTCTGTGTTTGGTAACATGACACAGACTTACCATCATATGTTCTCTGTGTTCTGTAACATGACACAGACTTACCATGGTATATTCTCTGTGTTCCTGTTACACGACAGACTTACCATGGTTTGTTTTCTGTGTTCCTGTTACACGACACAGACTTACCTAACATGACACAGACTTACCATGGTATGTTTTCTGTGTTCCTGTTACACGACACAGACTTTCCATGGTATATTTTCTGTGTTATGTAACATGATACAGACTTACCATTGGATGGTTTCTGTGTTCTGTAACACGACACAGACTTCCCATTGTATGGTTTCTGTGTTCTGTAACATGACACAGACTTACCATCGTATGTTTTCGGTGTTTGGTAGCAAGACAAAGACTTACAATGGAATATTTTCTGTGTTATGTAACACAACACAGTCTTACCATGGTATATTTTCTGTGTTATGTAACACAACACAGTCTTACCATGGTATATTTTCTGTGTTATGTAACATGACACAGACTTACCATTGTATGGTTTCTGTGTTCTGTAACATGACACAGACTTACCATGGTATATTTTCTGTGTTCCTGTTACACGACAGACTTACCATGGTATGTTTTCTGTGTTCCTGTTACACGACACAGACTTACCATCATATATTTTCTGTCTTTCGTACGTAATGCGACACAAACTTACCATCGTATATTTTCTGTGTTCCTGTTACTTTTTCTATCGCAGATTTCCATCTACGTAAGTCTTCAGTATTCAATGCAACAAACTGAATTAAAAAAGAATATTCATATACATATACTATTAAAAATGTTTTCCAGGCACGAGACCAGATCTTCTCAGTCTAATTAAATACAAAATAATAGGTTGTGAGATTGTGACATATTCAAACTATGTTTCAATTCTTAAAAAAAATCTTGTATATTTAGAGCAAAATAATATTGGTCTATAGCTATAGTTAGCTTTCTATAGTGTAGCGTTCCATTTCCTGGTATGTGTCGAAATCACAGACTGAACTAATAAACCCAAAAGTTATGAAGATAATACATTGTATTGCCAAACTTCAAATTACTCTATGTGTCAGACTTACGTCCAGAATGTTCACCTTACATAACACTACAAAAACTCTTTTCATGAAGTGAAATTTCCTCGCTGTTTCGAAGTATAATCACAGCCCATTCATTATGAAAAAAGCGAAAATCACAACTAATAAATCGAGGTGAAATATTCACCTGAACTGGAACATTAAAATGTCCTGTGGTTATTTTAACATTACAGGCTTTGGAAATTTAATTGACAAAGAAACATTAAATTTGATAAGAAACCCAACATTATATAAATAATTAAATGTCTTAGCCTGTGTTTTGTCACATGTTTTAAGAATCACATTCTGTTTTATATTCAGGATTTCATCATGTTGAATATTAGTGAGCCGAAGTTCCGATGTTTCGAATTTTCCCAGATAGTCCCGCAAAGTTTGAAACATTAAAGTTTGACTGTAGCCTGCAGTAACAGGAAAACATGTTGTGTATAAGTATTATAACCATATTGCTGTACCTGGAACGTCCGCTTGCCTTGACATACAACCTCAAAGCTCAGATCTTTTTTGTTAGCTTCCTTGACAAAGTCTGGTGCAGCCTGGAAGCTGTATCCGCTGAGACAGAATGCCCCTCTCTGTTTCTTGTCCTTTTTATTCTCGTAATAATACAGGCAGTCATCTTTGATCACACACCACCGTTTCTGTAGTTTGGCCATCAGTATTATACCTATAAGGAATCATGAGTACAGTTAACCCTTTCACCACTGTAGACCATAATGGACTCATCCATATCAATGCATGGAAGAGTCTACTTAAGTTACATAGGGGTGAAAGGGTTAAGGGGAGTACTGTCAAACATAGCAGGTACATTTTGTGGAGCAACGATTTAGAGATTAGGATTGTCTATATATAGGTCACAAAAGCTTAAAGGTCAACTTGTATCTTTATTTCTTTTTTTCCCAAACATTAATTATACAAATTATAACGGGTACCCCAGAAAGTAAACAAGAGGCCCAATGGCCTTTGCAGTCACCTAAGTAAATCATTAAGCAGAAGAAGAATTTAGAAATGTGTGTCAAGTTGGAATCATTTCCACCCAAAAATTTATGAAATACAGTCAAGGTGTAATTATTTTCCTAAATAAACTATAGTACAAATTTACCCCCTGGGAAATGAATGACTCCTGATCAGGGGTCATAAAATTTACAAATTTGAAAAAGACCTGAAGTCATTGAAATTTCCATCCAGTAAGAGTATTTCATTCTAGGACTTCTAGGTCTGAAGAAGAATGATTTTCAAATATTGGGAAATTTCCGATTTAGGGCCCCGCCCAAGCCTCTTGGGTGATGTAGAACCTTAATTTTTACAATTTAATATCCTCTTTCACCAAGGATGGTCCTTACCAAGTTTGTTGGAAATCCATTCATTGGACCTTGAGAAGAAGTCAAAAATGTAGAAAGTTTACGTAAGGTGCACGACTACGGACAGAAAGCGATCAGAATAGGTCAGAAAATCTTGAACAAAACGACCAATGAAAAATCTTGAACAAGAGGACCAATGAAAAAAATCAATCAAGACGACCAATGTAAAAAACTTTGAACAAGAGGACCAATGAAAAATCTTGAACAAATTAAGGACCAATGAAATACTAAAAGCTTTTAATACCTCTCTTCTGTTTCTTTTCCAGAAAACCAGATATAACATCATCCTTTATATCCTGAGCTGCTACGTCCGGGAATTCTTGGAAAAATAGAATTCATGATTCAGTTAACATTACAACTTTGCTTCAATGTTTAATATTTAAGTGTACGAATGTTTAGTAGAAGAAAAACTGGTGTTTTGTCCCAAAAAATTCAGCATTGATCCGCATCAATGATTTAGTCTCACTTCAGTTCTCATTTTAAAAACATGCTTCTGTTTACATTGTTCAAATTTTCTATTTATATATGGAGAACAAAATCCTTATTCTCTCTCAACTTTACAAAATGAGTCTAGTACAATATAGAACAACACATAGATTACACCAATGCTCAGCTACAACAAAAACTTGAACTTTGATAGTTTATATAATAATATGTTGTAAATCTGTGACCTTTGATTGACCTTTGAACACACTTACTTTGGTCAGAGTATGGATCTTCACCGTCTTCTGTTGTGGAACTGCCACCTGTCCGCGACGACTCATCTCCTTTGTCTACATCTGTAACACAGGAAACAGGTGTCATAGCTGCCCCATCAAACAGGTGTCACAGTGATGCATCATACAGGTGTTATAGTGACATATCATACAGGTGTCATCCTAACGTATCATACAGGTGTCATAGCAACTCATCATACAGGTGTCATAGCAACTCATCAAACAGATGTCGCAGTGATGCATCATACAGGTGTTATAGTGACACATCAAACAAGTATCATAGAAACTCATCATACAGGTGTCATAGTGACACATCATACAGGTATCATAGCAACTCATCACACAAGTGTCATAGTGACACATCATACAGGTGTCATGTCATAGTGAAATATCATACAAATGTCATAGTGATGCATCATACAGGTGTCAAAGTGACACATCATACAGGTGTCATAGTGATGCATCATACAGGTGTCATATCATAGTGACATATCATACAAGTGTCAGGGTGACACATCATACATGTACATGTGTCATAGTGACATATCATACAGGTATCATAGCAACTCATCATACAAGTGTCATAGTGACACATCATACAGGTGTCAAAGTGAAATATCATACAGGTGTCATAGTGATGCATCATACAGGTGTCAAAGTGACACATCATACAGGTGTCATAGTGATGCATCATACAGGTGTCATGTCATAGTGACATATCATACAAGTGTCATAGTGACACAACATACAGGTATCAGGGTGACATATCATACAGGTATCATAGCAACTCATCATACAGGTGTCATATCATAGTGAAATATCATACAAGTGTCATAGTGATGCATCATACAGGTATCATAGCAACTCATCATACAGGTGTCATAGTGATGCATCATACAAGTGTTTTAGTGAAATATCATACAAGTGTCATAGTGACATATCATACAGGTGTCATGTCATAGTGACATATCATACAAGTGTCATAGTGACACATCATACAGGTGTCAGGGTGACATATCATACAGGTGTCATATCATAGTGACACATCATACAAGTGTCATAGTGATGCATCATACAGGTGTCAAATCATAATGACACATCATACAAGTATCATAGTGATGCATCATACAGGTGTCAAAGTGATGCATCACACATGTACAGGTGTTATAGTGACATATCATACAAGTGTCATAGTGACACATCATACAGGTGTCATAGTGATGCATCATACAGGCATCATGTCATAGTGACATATCATACAAGTGTCATAGTGACACATCATACAGGTGTCTTAGTGATGCATTATACATGTACAGGTGTTATAGTGACATATCATACAGGTGGCATAGTGATGCATCATATAGGTGTTATAGTGACACATCATACAGGTGTCATAGTGATGCATCATACAGGTACAGGTGTTATAGTGACATATCATACAGGTGTCATAGTGACACATCATACAGTTGTCATAGTGATGCATCATACAGTTGTCATAGTGATGCATCATACAGGTATCAAAGGGAAATAATATACAGGTGTCATAGTGACACATCATACAGGTGTCATAGTGATGTATCATACAGGTGTCATAGTGACATATCATACAGGTGTTTTAGTGACATATCATACAAGAGTCATAGTGACATATCATACAAGTGTCATAGTGATGCATCCCCCTGCAGGTAGGGCGTAAGAATTGTACCTGCTGCCCCCAGTTGCATGATCGTAAGAGGCGACTAAATTTGGGACCTTATCTCTTCTCTCCTTTCTAAATAACTTTCTTCTTCCTAATGTCTCTCTTGACAATGCCTCACTTTTGGCCATTTGTTGAGCGTTCGCCGCTGTGAGGAAGGCTTTGGGTTCTGTCCCCTGGCCGAGACATACCAAAGTCTTTAAAAATGGTAGTTTATACTCCTGCTTAACGCTCAGCAAATTAGGAGTGGGACGACTGGTTCGCCCGTTGTCAGTATAATGTGACCGGGTGGGGC